ACCATAGTTTAATAATATTTAATCTCAATAGTTCAGTGTTAACAATACTAATATGATTGTATTTTGATGTTTTACTATAATATTGTCCTAATATTGCTTTATTGTAATATTTTTAAATTTAGTGACAGCCATTACATTGGCAATGTGGCCACTTTCTGCACACATACAAACCAAACCCTGGCCTCATTCTCTACCACAGCTCTAATGGTCTCATGGTTAGTACCATGGGCTTTTATGTGGGAGATCAGAGTTCGAAACCCAGCAACAGTAACTTTAACAGAAAATCTCTACAAACTTCATGTTGTCACACAATTACCCTTATTACAAACACCTGCTGACTTGACAAGCACAAGCTGGTATAGAAAACACATTTGAACTTGGTCACATTTCATTCTGCAAGTCCACTGCTGCAGGCAAAGCCATGCTGCAAGGCATTGCACACTTGTTTTTACATCGTAAAAACCCATGTCTAGTGTTCTAATGTTTTCCATTAGAATAATAATAATGTGGTGCCATTATGGAAAATCAATTAATGGCTTTGCTTTAAGTAATCCTACATTTATGTAAATGAATACCTGCCACTATCATAAGAATAAATGGTTGGAAAAGTTTAGGGTTAATGCACGTTTGGCTGCTCCCTGCTCATGCAAAGCTATTCTTTATATGCTGTATCCGCTTATTTTCATACAGCATTCATATACACTATATTGTAACACACAATTTAGTCACACACACACACACACACACACACACACACACACACACACACACACACACACACACACACACACACACACACCTGCTGCTACATGCTCACTTTTGACCAAGGTGATACCCCGTATCACATGCATAACTGACTTCACTGCACACATGCATGTGAGCGCTCAGTCCGGAGAAGAAATGAACCACATCAGATGTTTAGATCTGAGGAAGTTATTTAAGTTTATATTAATATTCAGCTTTGGATAAAAGTTAAGATGAGGTCATGTGAGCTTGAAATGTTTTTCACTGGTGTTTTGGGATCAGAGAGTTGAAGAGGTCCAAGAGGATCCTGCTGCTAAAACTTTATCAGCTCGCCTCTGCCTCCCAGCTTCCCAGCATGCAACACTCCCAGAGGCTGGACCAGAGACTCCACATGCTCAGAGAGGAGGTCAGAACCATGGTGAGTGCTCAGAAAATCTATCAGCTTCTAGGAATTCATTGGGACTATTTGACTTCAGTCAAATGTAGGAATAATTAATTAACAAAACGAATTCTATTTTTCACAGCAAGTAGTAGTTGTAACTTTTTATTTTTTATTTTTGGTATACCTCTTTTCTCCTCAGACTCAGGAAAAAGAAGTAACAGAGCGATTATGGCGTGAGCGGCTGCAGCGGTGCCAGAGGCAACTCAAGGCCAAAGAAGAAGAAATGAGTCGTCAAACTCAGTATTTTGAAAACTTTAAATTCCAGCTTCAACAGAAGCTCAGCTTGGCGCGAGACAGAGAACAGAGTCTGCAGAATCGTATCTACACTTTAGAAAAGCAGCTGCTTGACATGACTGTTAGTGCTGCCACGGGACTGGCAGCAGTAAGAGCGGTCAGAATTACTGCTGAGCCTGTGAGACACATAGATGAACAAGACAGGCTACCATCCCTGAGAGGGGAAGGTGAAGGAGAAGAGGAGAAAAATGAGAGGAAGAAGCATTGGCAGCCAGATGTGATAGAAACAGAGACGGGTGTTGATGGAGGAGGAAACAAAGACTCAAAACAGACTTCAAATGAGGCCAGGCTGCAGAGCTTTATTGTTAGCCTGCAGGAAGATCTCAAAGTGCTCCTGGAGAGAGAGGAGGCTGGGATGACCGAGCAAAGGAGACTCCAGGAGCAGCTCCAGAAAGCCCAGGAGAACGGCCTCTTCCTGGGTGGAAAAGTGGAAGAAATGAAAGCAGAGGGGCATCAGCTGAGACTGTCTGAGAGCTCCCTGATGAAGGAGGTGGAGGAGCTGAAAGAGGAGAACCGGAGACTTCAGCAGATCCTCAGGGATGTAGCTAACACACCATCTCAGTCATCCGCAAAGTCTGAGTCCACCACCTCTGAAGCCAGCTTAACCAGCTGCAGTCCAGCTGTGCCTGTAAWCACACTTTTAAATGCAAGTGCCACAGGACAGTCCTCCTCAGAGAGCTCAGCAGAGGTGTGTACAAAGTGATTATAACTATTATTTAATCAGTCTTGTTCAGAACAAATTGTCTTTTGAAAGAGAGGAGTAAAGATATGACATTCAAAATTCAAAGTTCTCAAGGTTCCTTCAGTATTGAAATATATTTGGGACCATTTAAAGTCTTTGTAACTTAAAAATATGTAATCATACATGGTAGACAGAAAAATATGACGTGGTGGACAGAATTAAACAACATTCAGCTATTTAAGGTGGACAGAGCATCATTACAGTAAAAATGTATTATATTATTTAGTTCAAAACTAACATGATGGTAGAACAGTGGCAGAAAATGCATTTTTTTCATCCTATTAAAAAATGGATATACCAAACTCAAGTTCTGTTATGTATTAGTAGGAACATAATTACACTGGATAATTGTTGGTATGTCGTTTATTTTTTTTTTAGTTGTAAAGTGTCACATCACTAGCTAAACCTGTTCAGTCACTCTTAATCAAATTACCCATTTAAATTTGGTCATTTTTAATGTATTTAATTATTACATAATGATTGTGACTAAAAACTAAAAATGCTGCCACACAATAAATAACTAAAGAACTTTACCACTGAACTTGTGTGTAGTTTAAAAAGAGTAAATCTCCAGTGTTTCTGTTTTCTGAAAGTTTGCAACAATGCATTTTTTTTACCAGTTGCTCAGTAATTGTTAATTTTTGTATCAAATTAATAACAACTTGTAATCTATTAACAGGTGCAGCCAGTTGCAGAGGAGAGACGAGTCAAGAGTCATTCATTTGCAATTCCACCTGTTGTCCATGAGGAGGCGGCAGAGCTCAGAGGAAACAACACAACGGATTCTTTCTCATCAGCCAAATCCAAAACTCCAACTAAACATGATCCAGTCAGCCTCTTTCACCACTTTGGCTCCAAACCCAACACCCATCACCCGTCACTTTCCACCACAACAGAGTTCCTAAATGAGGTTAAGCTGGGGAACTTGGAGGAAACTCCCAGTGAGGAATCCGATGCCCTGAGAGAAGCTTTCCAGAGCTTGGGATTAGGGGAAGATCTTCATGAGAAATGTGAACACCTGGAGGTTGCCCTGCAGCAAACACAGGCACAACTGGAGATTATGGCTCAGGAGAATGCACAGCTAAAACTACAGCTCAGAAAGGATGCAGAGCAACAACAGAGCGCAACTATGCAGAGGTCATCAAAAGAAAAGGTATGATAGCTCCCTCTGACGCTTTTTAAACTGAGGTAGGTTTATTATACTTTCAGTTTTAGCAATCAAATTCTCTTTCTCCATACAGATAATCATGCCATCCACCTTTGATGGAGCTGATCCTCTCCCATTGTCTCCTGCCAAAGATGACCTCGTTCAAGCTCTGAATCAGGAAAACCGAGCCTTGGCAGAAAGGATCCAGGAGCTGATGGCTCACATTGAACTCAGAGAGGAGGAGATCATAAAGGAGCACAAACAGCTGAGGGAGCATATTTTCAGGCTGGAGGAGGATTGTGACAGGCTGGAGCAGGAGAACCAAGAGCAAGCAAGTTTGATCTCCGAACTCACCAAGAAGACAGAGGACGACCTGAACACCATCATGGAGCTGCAGCAAAAGTTGGTTGAGAGTAAAGAGGAGTTGCAGCAGGGTCGAGTTCAGCTGGGAAGTGAGCGCCATGTTGGAAAATCAGGACGTAATTCACAGAACAACCAAGGTGAAAACACTCTAAAAGGAGACAAAGAAGCGCTGTCGATGTTCAGGCCGAAAACAGACAGTTTGACCACAGCCCCTTCCTTCGGACATCAGTGCAACAATCAGCTTGAGGTATTACAAAACATCTCACACAACAACCTGCCTTTTAATTCACTAACTGGCCCGGTGGCTCTGCTCACAAACTCACTCCAGAAACTCAGAACAGAAAAAGAAGAACTGAATGCCAGCGTCGATTCTCTCAGAGAGCAGCAAAAAGAAGTCACGCTGTCTGTTCAGAAACAGACAGAAGAAAAACAACAGTTAACRCGCGCAGTTTGGACCCTGAAAGAGCAGAAAGATGGCGTTTTCCTGTCTCTGTCTCGCCTCAAACAAGAGCAAGAGCCGCTGAGCAGGACAGTCTGTGGGCTGAAGGATGAGAGAGATCAGCTTTTGAGGTGTATTAGTGGCCTCAAAGAAACAAAAGAGCAGCTAACTGAATCTTTATCTGCCCTCCAAAGAGATAAAGAGGCAATAACAGAATCACTCTCAAGTGGGAAAAAAGAGAGCGATCGAATCATGCAATCGGTGCAAGGTTTACAGACGGAGGAGGACCASTTAAGCCAAACAGTGCTTCGTTTGAAAGAACAGAGGGATAAACTAACCAATTCTCTCAAGAATTTGACGGAACAAATAGATCGAAGGCAGTTAAGTCACACGGTAAAAGAAGACTACGAGCAGCTGGTACAGTCAGTTAGCAGTTTGAAAGAAGAAAAAGAAAAAGTTGAACATTCAATCAGCTGCTTGGGGCAAGAGGAAAAAGAAATAATGCAAAACATCTTGGCTTTAAAAGAGGAAAGACACAACCTTCAGATTATCCCTGTGCAAACAGAAAAAGAGATCAATCACAAGCAGCTGGTGGATCCACTCTGTGCTGACGAATGYGAGACGAGTAATCAGAGGGGCCGTTTTATACAGGTATTGAGTRCAATATAATTCACACATTTGTTCAAACATCCCTATTACTTTAATGTTCTGTTTAATATTATATAACATGGCTTTGATGGATCACAGAAGCAAAATGACCTGATGGTGGAGACTGAAGCTTTGGGAGCAGAGTTGAAGCAAATACAAGAGGAAGTAGACAAGAGACATGCAGAGGTGAATGGCAGCTGCTTCCTCACAGCTTAAAAAAAAAGAACGTCCCTAACTTTCTGTATGTCTTCAGACCATGAGGCTGCAAAGCAAACTTTCTCAGTCAGAAGCTCGGTGTGACGAGGCAGAGAAAAAAGCAGCTCAAGSAGCCGAACAGGTGATCAGACTGACAGAATCTGTTCGTCAGATGGAAGACATCAGGAAGGAAAACGAGAGCCTTGAATCCCAGGTATTTCACACTCATTAACCTGCAGGACAATGTCAGTGTGAATAAAACAACTTTTACCTCTTTCTTATGACTCTAATAAGTTAATCGAAGGTTGAGTTCTGCATTAACCATGCCAAGATAAATTACACTTGTTACAGCCACCACCTGTATTGTTTGTAGGCGAGTATACCAAAGTTAGCAAAAGTAACTTTCACAGAGAACCTTAAATGCATARGTAATTAAAATCCTAAGATTATTATTTAGMAACAGAACTCATTCCCTTAATTATWCCCTGTTGTTTCYGTARGGATGTAAATCCAGACATTGAATTTGTTAAATCTAACTGGTGTTTGTGCTTCCTGTAGATAAACGAGCTGCAGAACAAACTGACTGTTCTGCTCCGGGAGAAAACTGCAGCTTTGTCTCTGAAGGYCCAAACAAAGGAACAATACGACATCCTCGCTGCCCAGCTCAAAGCTAAGGTACTTTTTCTTGTTTTTGACTTTCTGTGATGAAAATTAATTGTAAAGGGGTGATGTTTTTATTTATTTATTTATTTATTTTTATAAACAACCATAAATKATTAACCTAATGGATGCATTGATGTTTTACAGAAATAACACAAAACACCTTTTCTTGAAAATACATGAACAATAAAGACTTTAATATTGTCTCTCAACAAAGCTTGTTTTAACATAAAACTTCATCTTAAAATCATAAAGATGTTTGTAATTCAGCCTGTTTAAAACCAAGCTTTTGTCATATGATAGTGTTGTTGTTGCATGGCTGTAAGTATAGTAGTTTTATTTACATTCTTCAGGGTATGAAAAACTTTTCTGGTGTTAATATTTATGTTTTCCTCAGACTTTCACACATCTTTGTTCTTTAGCAGTTGAACCTATGTTTTTCACATGTCCTTGATGTGATGTTTGAACTCCACAGAGCAAAGCTCTGGAGGAGCTGAACTCGGAGTACACCGCTCTGAAACGAGGACAGGCCAGYAGGGATGATCTGAACACCACCCTGGTCTCCCTCAGAGCTCGATACGATGACATCAGAGCCAAGGTGGACAACTAGTGGGTCGTGATTGTCAGTTTCTTAATGTTATGCCTTTATGTATGTCCTAAAAGTCTCATGTTTAATTTCCTCAGTATGATGGCCTTCTTAAAAGAAAAAGCCAAACAGATCTGGATATTGCTCCCTTAAAGGTGAATAAATGTAATTTCTGCTTCTTTTGCTTTTGTTTTGATGTCAGTTTTGTTTCGCTGTTGAGAAGCCCTTCATGGTTGATTCTCGCTTACAGATGTGTTTTCCAACAACAGGCCAAGCTGTCCTGCCTGGTGCTGAAGTGTCAGGAAAGAAACTGCTTGTTAGTTGAGATGATGAAGTCTGTGCAGGCACAGAGCTGCCTGGACCCCAAACTTATCCAACAAGTGAAGCATCTGCTCAGAGACGCTGCTCTTCAGGAATATGCTGCAACATTTACACCAGGAAGCTACACGCAGACTAGAAGCTGCTGTAATGGGCTCACACAAGATTTTTTCTCTGTATTTCAAGACTACACCAACAGATTCATACCTGATGAGACCTGCCCAGTCGTATCGATCTGTGTGAACAAACAACAAAACCGAGTCTCATCTGAATCCAAAACTCAACACGGTGAAAGTAAAAACCATGTTTCAATAAGGGCCAGTGAAACTTCAACACATCCTGGAACTGGACCTGCAGCAGCTGAAACCCTTAAGAAAAACTCACCTGAGCTGATATCTCCTGTTCCAGACCCTTCAGATGTCCAGATGTCTCCTGTTGTCCCGCCGAAAGACAGTCTGATCACCAATACATCGCTGGTGAAATTATGTTTTGTGTTTAAAAATGTGAAAAAACACAGATTTAAATTAATTAGCATTCCTCAAATAATGTGTATCACAGACTCACAAACAACAAAGACATACACTGACACAGGAAATTACATTGTTGCCCACTTTTCATGGTGATAAGTAGTTTAAAAGTCTTAATAAATGTAACACTACCTTTTCTGAATCGCTCCACAGCTGTCCTCTGGACCAGTCCAAGCAAAAAGTCGACCAGAAAAGTTAGGATTTGAGCACCTGGACGTGAAACAAAAGTCCTCATCAGGTCCGAGCAGTTCGAGTCCCTCCTCCTCCAGCACACAAGTCGGYCCGAGCCGAAAGTTAAGTAGTCCTGAGAAGATTATCAACCTGCATGAACAACTGCAGAAGACTCTGAGCAGCTTTCAGGTACACTCAGTACGCAAATACATGTTTGACTAAGAGGTGATGATAATATTTAATACACATATTTTCTCCCAAAGGCACCAGAGAGCAGAGGAGGAGAGCAGGAGCCCAGGAGGAGTTGCTCAGACCTAAACGTGCCCGACAAAACTTTCAATTTTCTTCACACCCACTCTCTTCCAGTATTAACTAAACATGTGCCAACAGAAACAACTAAAGCTGCCGTTTCTGACAAACCAACACTTTTTAATGTGGTCGTGTCTCGATCTGCTGATGTCAAATTAAGTCCCAGCATGTTTACGAAGCATCGTCTAAAAGCAGACGTCTGTAAAACACCAACCACTTTGAGCTCTCCTCAATCTCCTCTTTTCACTCTGACTCCCAGCAAAGATGAATCGATTTTAACTGGTGGCACTGAGCTCACATTAAACCTGAACCAGGCAAAGAAAATCACTGCTGTTCACAGCAGAGCTGATGCTGCACATGAAGTATCTTCTCCTCTAATTCCTTTCACATCTGATGTCTCTAATTCAAAAAGCACTCTTTCAGATATAACTCCAACAAACAAACCAACTGACCCCCAGTTCAACATTTGTAATGTTACCTCTAAAATGAACAGCGCTGCCTTCTCTCATCATAGCTTCAGATCTTGCTCTCACTCTGCTCGTTCCTCCTCGAGATCCATGAAGCCCACCACAGAGTCCACTTCTCTGCTGGAGAAGATTTCAAGACTCAAACCAGGTAATGTGCTTATTCAAGATTTCACAGTTATTTTCACCAAACTGTGCTATTTGCTTCTGTGTGTTTACACATATTCTACAATTCAAACAAAAAAAATGCAGATGATAACCATCATGACCCAGCAAACCCCTCAGAACTGCTGTGGTTAGATAAAAAAACACTTGTCTGGAGACAGATCGAGAGGTCTTCAATGATGGGGTCGCAGCCCTTACCCGGGGTCGTTGAGGTACTGCAGGGAGGTCGTCAAACGTTTGGGCAACTTTTCTTTCTAAGATGTTTTGTAACGACACATTACCATGACTCCAACATGTAGCAAACCAATAAATGGAGGCATAAAATAATGTATTTCAGTTAGAAATGCACACATTCAGTGAGCACACCACCTGAACTCTGCTTCGGTCTAAACCTCCATGCATTCTTCACACAAAGTGAAGGACCCGCCCCTATCCACACTGGGCAGGTCATGTGACCCTGGTGTGTTCGCTCTGTCAGGTTCACTGTAATTGGCTGAGAGCCAACTAGTGCCATCTTTTTTACAATATTTTTACAGTACTGCGTCCTAATGATAACAGTCTAAAGCTAATGTCAGTATACACAGTAGGGGTCCTTGGTTTGTCTCTCCATCAGTTTGGGGGTCCCAGACTGAAAAACATGGAAAGTTTATTGTATCTGTGCTACTGGAGGAAAATGGAACCAGTGGAAGGAATATATGATRAACTAGTAAAAACATAACAAAGCTATAAATTTAAGCTTGTGTTCTGCAGTTAGCYGGCCCTAATTGATACAAAGTGGAGTTTAGGGTCCCAATAGAAAAAAAAATGCTTTAAAAAAAAAGGTGAATTGCTTTGTTTGTGTGTTTTGGTGCCTCGTTCGGTGCACAATGTTGTGCTTTATTACTGTGGAATATTAGTTTTTCTTYGTGTGCAGCTGTGATCTGATTACACCCCATTTAAATGTGCCKTTTTCTCTGTCTGTTTTTTTGGATTATGAAAATGCTGCAGTGCAGTTTCTAGCTGTTTGGTGATTCCCAGCTTATAATGCCCACAGAATACACAGCAGTATGTGATTATTACGTCTTAATGTGTCGTTTGGGCTCATTGGCAAGCTCTAAATGTACTTCATTCTGCTTCATTCCTCACTGTAAAAAAGTAAGAACTGCAACTAATTGTGCATAGTATTTATTTATTTATTTATTTATTTATTTATTTATTTATTTATTTATTTGTCTTCAGAGGCTCCAGCTGAGGTTTGCTCTCTTGAAGTGATTAAAACAGTGGGTCAGAGCAGCCTCCTGATTGGCTGGGAGAGGCCGCCCCTTGACGAGCTGGGCTGCAGTAATGGCACGTTTGTGTACGGATACAGAGTAAGAAGAAAAGAAAAACATGCTCTGGTTGTGCGAGATTAAATGCATTCGTATTAATTGTTTTAAATGCGTTTTCTCTTATTTCCTTGTATAAATAATTTTTTGTCACCCCTCAGGTTTTGGTAAACGGGGAGTTTCACAAATCTGTCATGAGCTCAGCATGCACCAAGGTACGAGACCACATTTACCCTTTAAATGACTACATTTAATTACAATAAAAACGTATGTGTAGTAATATATTGTGTGTCTGTTCACAGTGTATCCTGGAAAACATCAACCTACGTGTCCCTGTCCACATCAGTGTCCAGACTCTGGGCTCCAATGGTCTCCGATCAAACAGTGTCCAAACGTTTCACAGAACAGAGCAAAGCTGATTCAGAGGTCAGATTAAAACGACTCTCCCTGTGCAGTTCTCAGCTATCTATAGCTGCAGCCCCCCTGAGGGAGCGTCCTAACCTCCACCTCTGCTGGGACGTACAGTCACTGCAGGAAGAACCGCACCATGTGAGACTCAGGCCAACCAATCAGAAAAGCTCGTCTCACATGGTTTTTACCCTGATGGTGAACATACAGCTGAACTCTAAACCTCTAAATCAGCACCTGAAGATGTCAATCAAAATACTCAGTTATTTTCCTGCCTCTGCAATCAAGTTCAATCTACACATAAAACTTTGTTTTTTTTTCCACTTTAGAGCAACTTTGTGTTTACCCTGCAGGACCTTTTTGAAGACATTGCCCATCAAACAAGCAGAGTTGCATTTAAAACCACAGTTACTGACTATATTTAGCAAGACTTGACAAACTGGAGGGATTTCTGTATGTGCTGCACACCTTTACACTGTGTGAAACACCGAGGATCTTGTGTCATATTTATTTATCAAAGAGCCTCACTGCTGCCTCTCTGGACAACATGAACAATCGACCCGTTAAAGCCTTTTGGACAGAAACACATTCTGAATAATGTGCTGAAGAGACTTTATACTCAGTGGTCAGCCTATTTTATTTTTTATTTTTATACATGAAGCCAAATATGTGGAAAAATTATGTACTCCAAAGACTAATTTCTCTCTTCTCATAGGTCTGCAAGATTTATTTAAATACACATTTAAGTTATAAAATTTGCACACAATAATTAGATATAAGAAGAAACTTTAACGAGATTGTCACTGATATTTTTTGTAGAGAATGTTCTAAAAGAAATTGCCAACACAATTTACCTCACACTGTTATTCTTTTTGTATAAGGGACACATTTTACTTCAAATAGATGTCATGTTTGCACTTATATTCCCCTGGTTTTTATTAAGTAAAACTTCACGACATACAATATTCTTTTTCTATTTGCTGTGTGTGTGTGTGTGTGTGTGTGTGTGTGTGTGTGTGTGTGTGTGTGTGTGTGTGTGTGTGTGTGTGTGTGTGTGTGTGTGTGTGTGTGTGTGTGTGTGTGTGTGTGCATGTGGAGTGATTATGGTGCTGCAAAATGTATTTTTCTATCAGTAATCAATATATTCATTTCTCACTGATTCCTTAAAATCATACAGAGAATAAATGTTTATATAATAACTATTAGTTCAGTGTCTGTCTGTCAGTTGGTGTGTAAAAAAGTAATTAGGTGCCCTCATTCATGAATTATAAAATTCTAATAGTATATTTGTTTTAGCTTTTTCTGCCATGTTTCTCAAATCAACAATGAATGGAGCTTTTTTTTCTTTATAAATCCATTGTTCTGGTTTTGTTTTTTTCAACTTTGTCATACTAATTTAACTTCTTTCGACTTATATTTTGCTGATTTAAGCTTTTTTCTGCCTTTTCAGCTGTCATTCTAACCTTTTCTGCCACTCTTCTAATTTCAACTTTTTTGTGCTTCAATTGCTTCTTTCTGCTATTTTACGTTTTGTGTGCTTCATTCAGCTGTTTTAGCTACTTTTTAAGCTAATTTGAGCTTTTTCAGCTAAATTAACTTTTTTGTGATCATTTCAGCTTTTTAATGTGTGCTCGTTCAATTTTTTTGTGCTAATTTCAGTGTTTTCAGCTACTTTTTAAAAGCTATTTTAGGCTAGTTTCAGATTATTTTTTTAGCTTTTCAGCTAAACTCTTTCATCATTCACTCTGCATTTTTGCAGGAAATGCAAAATCTCTAGCTTGACTGAATCAACATTAGTTAGATAAAAAAGGCTAATTTAAAGTCACTCTATCATGAGAGCCAGAACAAATTCCTCTGATTCTAAAAGGTTTTAAGGCTTAACTCCTTTTTATTGCCTACAGCAGAGGTGAAAATGGAGCGCTGTGGTTTCTGCTCATGTCTGTGTGCACCTGTGTTCGTCTCTATCATTAGCAAAATATCCCAAAAATCACAAAACAGATTTTTAATGAAACTTTAAAAAAATAATCACTGGTGTACATCTATAACTGATGAAGGTTTTTGGCTGCTAATTCTAATCAACAATAACACAGAAATGTCTTTTAATCAGTGAATATTACAGATATTAAACTGCAACTTCTTCTAATAGTAACTTGACATATTAACACACATTTCAAGCACCAGCAGATTATATGAGAGATWGCAATATTACATGAGATTTAGTGTAATGTTTAAAAGGTTTGACCAAAATACCTATAACTGTCATTTCTCCTGATCTTAATCTAAATCTCTTGGTGATAAGGCCTTTAATTTGCTACATTTTTCACTTAATAATAAACACTAGATGGCAGCAGCATGAGCAGAAAACCACAGATCATTGGTTATTCATAAACTCTCAGTAGATATCTGACACGTGACTTCAGCACATTCATGTGAGAGTATGGGACAGATCTGCTTAAATATAAGTTGTTAATATTGTGTCTTTATTTAGGAACAAAACAGACCTAACAACAAAAGCAAAAGAAMGAATAAGAAGCATAAGCAGCAAAAAAAAAGAGGCTTATTAATGACCTGCTGCGTTCCGCAGCTTCCAGAGCTCCTCTGAGAACATTATTGCTTGTGCTCAGCAGAAAGAGTGGGCCCGGGGGTTTCACTTTGAGTGTACGGGGGTATAGGTGCATGATTTATGACTCCTGGAAGTCGCTCAACTGTACATAAAAATATAGAACTTTTGTTATTGCATTTACTGTAAATGCAGTCATACATGAATTAATCACTTTGGTAAGAAAAAAACTAACATTAAAACAACTTAAAGTGAATAAAGTTAACAGTAGTGTTAGCTCAGTTACTAACCTGGCAGATTGTTTTCAAGTGTAGCATTTGTATGAAGTATAAAGTAAGTATCCATGTCTTTGTCTTTGAGTGAATACATAAACATATTCTGGATGTTAGATTTCTGCTGCATTTGGACACTCAGACATCAATTCTGAGTTTCACATTGCCGGACAGGACACGGGGGAAAAAATAAAAAACAAAAAGATTTCTGCTGCTAGAAATTGAGAGACATTGAGAGCTGCATACAAAAATACCAAGAGTTCCAGAATAAATAAAGGAAGTCATCAATCTAATAAACTTTTAAATACATCAATTACAAAAGTTTTGTCAATAGGACAAAAAAAAACAACAAAAAACAGATTGACATACGTTATTTAGTACTAAACACAAACAAATAACTTCTTGTAACAAACCGACACATAAAAACTAACAGTTGCCTCTCAGACCTGTTCAGAGAGTGGCTGCAGGAGCTGCTGTGACTGCAGAAGAAAAAGGCTCAAAGATGTGTTGCTAAACGATCGTTAAAGTAACGCTGTGTTCACTTTCTTAAATGAAATAAGATGAAAAACAAAAATCTTCCATTTGGGACTCATCTAAAATATATTGTGCTTTTAACAGTATGGGTGGGCATAAAACTAATGAACCAACAAATCAACAAACATAAACACTCTGCAGGAAAAACTAAACTCCAACAAGTTTCTCAGAGGTAGCTTTACATCTAATACGTTTATAAGTTTTATGCCAAACCATTAAAAACTAATAACTGATCTTGTGCAAAATAAAAACAAACTAAAGGCCTACACTGCATCTTGCATGGCAAACATTAAAATATCCTGCAATATCTGTTTTAGCTCTATAGCTATAATATTAACTGGGTTTTAGCCACGTTTGTTTTTCTTAAGTTTAACTTGCTGTAGAAGCCATTTTGAATTAGTTTGGCTTAAAACGGTAAACAATTGTAGATTTATATTCAACGAACATTTTCTGTGTTGCAATAAAATCTGTTCAGTTCATAGCAAACACGTGCAAAAACACCGTCGCTCACCTCTCATCTTTCAGGAACAGGTGAAGCCCAGCTGCTTTCCACTGTAGATTTTAGGATTACTTGGATGGCTGAAGATCTACATCAAAAGACAAATCCTGTGCTTTACATATTGTGCTTTTATGCCAGTAGGACATTTTTCATGCATAATATTCTCCATTCAGTAAAACATCTCATTATTATGTTGTTTAAACTGAACATTTAGCGAAGTGGTGGTAAAAGTCCATCAGAACCACTGAAGCTTTCATTAAAACTGATGTGAAGCTCAACCAGAAGGTCTGGGTGGA